TTATTCGTCCCTTCCTATTCCCTTTTCTTTAATTCCTCTTTCGTTTTCTTCCTCTTATCCTCTTCAACTGCCTCCCATAATCCTTCGATCTTCTTTGCTTCCCCTTCTCTCCCCTTTTCTCTCGTTTCTTTTTTATTTTCTACTATTTCTCCTTTCCTTTCTTTACTTCTTTATCTCTTCGTTCCTCTCTTATCTCTCTCTCAACCCTATCGCTGTTTTCCCTTTTCCTCTTCCCTTTTTTTCCTATCTTCTAATTCCACTATTTCCTCCTTCCTTCTCCTTTATCAACATTTAAAGTCTTCTCTTCTTCTCTTCCCTTCTTCTCTATCTCCTTTCTTCCTTCCTATCCTCCTTCTCCCTTTTCTTTCTCTCCTACTTACTCTACTTTGCCTCCATTCCCTTTTCCTGTTTTCTTTCATCTCCTCCTTTTCCCTCTTCTCTCTCTTCCCCTACTTTCGACCCCTCTTCTCTCCTTCGCTCCTCTCTCTCTCTCTCTTTCTCTCTCTCTCTCTCTCTCTCTCTCTCTCTCTCTCTCTCTCTCTCTCTCTCCTCTTTCTCTCACTCCTCTTTCTCTCACTCCTCTTTCTCTCTTTCCTCTTTCTCTCTCTTTTCTTTCTCTCTCTCCTCTCTTCCTCTCACCCCCCCCATCTCCCTAACTTCTCTCATCCCCCTTCTCCCCTCTTCTCTCTCTCTCTCTCTCTCTCTCTCTCTCTCTCTCTCTCTTTCTCTCTTCCTCCCTCCCCTTTCCCTCTCCCTCCCTTCTCCCTCTCTCTCTCCCTCTCTGCCTCTTCCTCCCCTCTTCCTTTCTCTCTCTCTCTCTCTCTCTCCCCTCTCCCTCTCCCTCCCCTCCCTCCCTCCCCCTCCCTCTCCCTCCCCTCTCCCTCTCCCTCTCTCTCCCTCCCTCCCTCTCCCTCTCCCTCTCTCTCCCTCCCTCCCCTTTTCCTCCCTCCCTCTCTCTCTCTCTCCCCTCTTCCTCTCCCCCTCTCTTCGCATGTGTCTTTTCATCTCCCGCTTCGATCCAGGTAAAACTTTGTGCTAATTGGTACCGTGTTTGCCAGTTAATAGTTAGTAGGACTTCGGATGGGCTTCAAAAGGACTAATTCACTGTTTAATGTGTGTTAGTGGGTGTTAGTAGTACGCATATAGACTTAACATACACATACATACACATACACACACACACACACACACACACAAACATACACAAGCACACAAACACACACCTCCTTTTCTCCTAAACATACAGACCTAACAAACACACACACACAGAAACATACACACACACAAACACACACCTGCTTTCCACCACACATACAGACCTAACAAACACACAAACAACCACACTCACAAACACACACACACACATACACACACAACCTTCCCCATCCTCCCCCCCTCCCCCCCCCATCTACACCGCGTCATCTGATCACCGCTCCCGCTCTCCCTCACGCCCTCTCTCCCTCGCTTCTCCCTCAACAAGAGACGGTGAAAACATGAATCAATTTGATCGCCATAATCTAATAACCTTTTCTAATGCAACGAAGAGATCTGGGATAAGGAGAGAGGGGGGGAGAGGGGGGAGAGGGGGTAGTGGGAAGATGAGGAGAAGGGAGGGAGAGGGGACAGGGAGGATGAGGAGATGGGAGAGAGAGAGGGAGATGAGGAAGGGGAGAGGGTGAAAGAAGGAGGGTAGGGGAGATGAGAGAGAGAGAGAGAGAGAGAGAGAGAGAGAGAGAGAGAGAGAGAGAGAGAGAGAGAGAGAGAGAGAGAGAGAGAGAGAGAGAGAGAGAGAGGATTAGAGAGGAAAAGAGAGAGGGGGTGGGAAGAGGGAGGGAGGAGAGAAGATGAGAGGGGAGAGGGAGGAGAGAAGGTGAGAGGGGAAAGGGTGAGCGAAGGAGAGAGGATACGGGAGAGAGAAAGAGAGAGGGAGAGGACAGGGAGATGAGAGAAAGAAGACAGTGAGAATATGAGGGAAAGGATAGGATTGAAGAGAGAGCCTAAGAGATATGAGGAGAAGGAAAGAGGAAGAGAAAAGGGTGTGAGGAAGAGAGCGTGAGAGTATGAGGGAAGGGAGAGAATGGACGAGAAGAGCTAAGGAGTAGGAGGGGGGGAGGGGGATAGAGAGAAGGGAGTGGGGGGGGAGGAGAGAAGGGGGGGAGGTTGGGAGCGAGAGAGGGGAGAGGGTAGTGGGGGGGAGGGAGGGAGGGAGGAAGGAGTTCTTAGTGAAGTTACAGGGAATGGGGTGAAAGGAGAGGTGGGGGGGGCAGATAGGGTGGAAGGAGAGATAGAGATGAAGGGAGGGCGGAGGAGAAAGAGAGAGAGAGAGAGAGAGAGAGAGAGAGAGAGAGAGAGAGAGAGAGAGAGAGAGTGAGTGAGTGAATGAGTAAGTGAATGAGAAGTGAGTGAGTGTCTGAGTGAGTTGAGATAAAAAGATAGATAGATAGACAGATAGATAGAAGAGAGAAGAAATGAGAAGAGAAGAGAAGAAAAGACGAGAGAA